CGGTTGAGTCCCTCCCTGGGACGTGGCGGTAAACTCGATTCTCCATCGTCTCTAGGGGGTTACGATGATACCAAGGCCATGGTTGGCAAGCAGAAGCCCCCAGCCCCAGTGAATTTCCAGGACACAGGACGAAGACGGACTTCTTATGCACGTTGGTTTCGCCCGGGTGAGGGGAGTGTGGACGTGAGGCTACCGCATGAATCCCCCACCCAGATGCCTCGCAACCCGGAAACAGATGTGGGCGGCAGCGCTGCCGAGTTGCAGTTCCGGGTCAGGCCAGTCGCAGCCTGTGCTCTGTTGCTGCCGCAGTGCCCCGCCCCTGCACTCTGGACCTGGGCAGGCGGTGGCCGCCCAGCAGCTCCCGGGGCCAGATGGCTGAGGGAGACCCAGGGACCGACCAGAGGCAGGTGAGGCCCCGGCGGGCGCGGATCATCCAGATTTGGCTCGGTCTCACTTCGCCGCCCCGGGCCTCCTCCGCTGAGAGGCCCTTTGCCCAGGGTCACCCCCAGTCCCACCTGCACCGCCTGGCCGTGCCATTTTGCCTGCCACCTTCCATTTTCCTGGTGCTTATTTTCGGCCAAGCACTCTTGGTTTGGCGGTTCCTCAGCAGTAGTGGGCTCACCTCAGATCATGTCATGGCCAACCATCAATACGTCAACCATCAGAGGCCGAAGCCCGGGTTCTGGCCGCCATCCTGTCGCCACTGGGTCATTTTGGACCAGCCATTTGTGATCCCCCATTTCTGCCTTTGCAAAGTGGGCAGTAACGCAGACCCTTGAGCTCCTTGAAGCCCCACCAAATCTTAGTCATCTTATTACTGAGCTTTCCCCAGTACATGGCTTACGTGGGCTTTCAATAAGGCTTTGTGGACAAAATGAGATGACGGAAAATTTCATTGATATTTGACGTCTCATTTCTCATCATGAGGTCTTGTTATTTTTCTTTTAAACCCCAAACTAAAATAATTTTTGAAAAGTTTCGAGGGTGTGTTTGCCAAAAATAAAGCAAACACCACCTAGCCCCGGTGCTCAAATCCAACGAAACCGAGTGAGACAACCAGCAGGAATCTAGGTAGATGGCAAAACCTGAATGGGGAGGGGGGCGGGGATAGCCTGTTAACAAGATAAAAGGTGGGCAGAGGAAATATATGTATCCTCTAAATTGTGAATCTCAATGCAGGGTATAGAAGTGCGTATGTATTTTGGCTCGGTGGTGGCCGAAAGCACAATGATGTAGCCCGGATGGTTTCCAGACATTACGATACTGTCTGGCAACCACCCAGACAGCAGGACATGGTGACGTGCTACTAAAAACCTTTTGAATAAAATGAATAATGATGGCAAAATAATAAAAAGAACCTTTTATTTGCGAAGGCTCATCGAAGGCTCCTTTATACAAGTGTTCTTTTAAATAGCATAGTGATTTTAAATGCAAATACCTTATACTGGAGTTAAAAACCAGGTTTTTAGGGTATGTAAATTTGTTGACTTTTTTTCCTCCCCTGGTCAACTTCTTTCAGAATGAGGAAATTGAAGCAATGGCAGCTATATATGGCGATGAATGGTGTGTCGTTGATGACTGTGCCAAAATATTTTGTATTAGAGTTAATGACACTACAAAAAATCCCAAATGGACACTTTGCTTGCAGGTATTTTTTCCCGTTCTCTACAGCCATTTTCCAGTTACAACATTGACTCTATGTGATTCACCACTATTCTTTAAATTATAATTTTTGGGTGATATGTTCTAAATTGTCTTCTGTTGTTTTTGGCTTTTGTCAGTAATCAGTTAAACATATAAGCAGTTAAATCTCACATCACTCTCAAGTCATGCTTTAATATATAGTTTCATTTTTTTTAATCCCAATTCTTTTAATTATTTGGAATGTTATTAATGTACCATTGACAGGCTTCAGTTTCACTTTCTTTCATTTATCCTGTCCATCTAATAGGTGAGTGTCAAAACCTGCAAAGATGGCTAACTGTAAGAGGAAGAAGACGTAATTTTGATGATTCATAGAATAGATTCTCATTTCGTTACTAATCCAGAGTCTGATAGGATAAAATAAAGATGACTGCCTGCACTTTCAACGTGAAGGCTGCTGCATTGAATTTTTTGTCAGTATTTGTTTTTATATAACATTATTTGAAAAGAAATGTATATGGTTTTGTATTGTGTATTAGCTATTCCATCATATATTTAATAAGATTTTATAGTCTTAATTTTATAGGATTTTGTTTATTGTAAATCTGTGGGAAAATGCCTGAAAAAATGTTTTAATGCCATTCTATCCATTTGAGGTATACTTCCCCTATTTCAGTTTTCCTTTTCCTTTTGCCTCTGTCCTTCCACACTTATTTTCATATTGCATTGATTTTAGAATTTCTGTGCAAATGATTAGCTCCTTCTCCTTAAAAAAAAAAAAAAAATGCCACATCACTAACGTCTGTTCAACATGGAAGCAGAAATACTAGGAGGGAGTTCTCTGCTGAGATTTTATAAAACAATGGTTTTGTTTTTTAGTTTGGCAAGTTAGAAATTTGTCCAATGATTGGCTTTACAAATACAGTTTTTGATCCTTGATAAAGTGTACACAGATTTGTTTTTAAACTGCTTCATAGGTGCTGCTACCGAATGAATACCCAAGTACAGCTCCACCCATTTATCAACTGAAGTAAGCAATGTCTCTATATTTTTATAAAAAGATTATACTTTTCAAAGATTGTTTCTCTATACTATACATTGTGTTTATATAAAAGACCTTTCTTGAAATGCACACAGAAGTTAAAAACACCTTTTGGACTTGGTATAGAGCATTTAAATAAAGAACTAAATTATGTAAAAGTACACTGAAATATGCCACTAAGTGTAACAGAGAATCATAGGGTTCATAGGAATAAAGCAACTACAGAATTATCTTTAGAGGTGGAGAAGGAAATCTTCCACTTTAGATAATCTGTTGTTATTAGTTGCCATCAAGCTGATTTTTCACTTCACAGTGACCCCATGTCACAGAGTAGAACTGCCCTGTAAGGTTTTCTAGCCTGTAATCTCTGTGGGAACAGATTGCTAGGTCTTTCTCTCGTAGAGTGGCTGGGTGAGTTCGAACCACCAACCTTTAGATTATGTTACGTCACTAGGGCTTCTTGTAGACAATCCAGTCATCCAGAAAACCTGACCCTTGGAGTTTCTTCTAATCTAGTTCTGATGACCTAGCCACAGTTCCTTGCTGTACTTCTACATAAGACAGCCTATTTTCCAGAAAGGATGCTTCTTGTCCTTCTCCCCGCCCCTCCACCCCCATTGTGGTTGAGTGACCATCTTAGCATCCCAGGCTTAATCTTTAAGTCCTGACCTGTTGATCTAGCTTGCCCACTTGGCCTAATAAGATCTGCAAACTTGTGAGGAACAGAATTGTATAAAAATCTCAATTGCTAACATTTTTAATGACTAAACCGAAAAAAAAAAAAAAATTCATTGCGCTTGAATCGGATCTGACTCATAGTGACCCCTCCTTGGGTTTCCGAGGTGGTATCCCTATGGAAGTACATTGCCCAGTCTTCCTTCTGAGGAGTGGCTGGTGGGTTTGAACCGCCAGCCTTCTGGTTTAGCAGTCAAATGCCTTAGGGATTAAAATTTAATATTAATAATAGTTCTGTAACTTATATTTTTATTTAGTGAAAGTGATATAACTATATATCACTTTATATATAAACATATATATATATCACTTTATATATAAACATGAATGTCCTTTTTTAAAAAAAATCTTTTTTTTTTCCTCAAATCATATGGCAACCAGTTTATTTGTTAGAGTTGTTTTTGAGACACTAGTTAGAAGAAATTGGGATCTCTTATGTTGTGGCAAACACTGAATCTGGAAATCTAGATTCTAGGACCTGCTCTGTCATATATATAAACTTGGGCAAGTCAGTGACTCCTAGGAACCTATACCCATTTCTTAAATCATTAAAACTGAATAATATGGGTTTTGGCATTGTCATGGTATATTGTGAGGACCAAATGAGTTAATGCTAATGAAAACATTTTAGAACTGTATGGATTTATACAAAAACATTTTAATGAAAATACATTATTTTTAAAAGTTAAATAAAGCCAATTTGTGGTTTAATCAATACTTACTGTATGAGATAAAAACACAATGCTTGAATAATGTTCTTTATTGTGTTTTATTTCATCTTAGTGCTCCTTGGCTTAGAGGGCAAGAACGTATGGATTTATCCAATAGCCTTGAGGAAATATATATGTAAGTGACAGGTGATTAACAAAACGTTCTGCTGGTAGTTCTGTTGTGGGCATTTGTTGAAACTGTGACTGTGTTAGTGGCTTTTTAAAACTGTAAGCTACCTTTCCATTAAAACAAGATGTACTTGAAGAGAGCTTGAAGAAACCTTGAAGGTTGGTTTTATGTTTAATTTTAAATTACATTTGACATAGCTATGAAAAGCACTTTAACTATAAAAGTAAGTTCAGAGATACAGCTCTTGTTGATATTTTCTTGATATTTCAAGAAGAGCTTGATATTTCAAGCTCTTGTTGATATTTTCATAGGCTAAGGAGAATGAAATTCATAACAGCCGAATCCTAAGCTTAATTATTTACCAAACTAAGATATATTTTTAATGATCATTTCTCTTATTTTGGGCTACAGAGGCTACAGAACTAAGAATCTATTGATAGACTGTATTTTTCATTCATTCAACAATTATTCACTGTATAGCAGGCTCTGTAGTACAGCCTGGATATATGTGGTGTTTCATGGTGTCTAGAATTTATTGTATACATGGGAGAGATACTATAATATCATAAAAATAAATGTAAAATTGCAACTGTGGTATAAGAAGGATATGCAGTGCTAAGAAGTTTGAAACAGAGTATGACCTCGTCTAGGACAGCTTGTTTGACTTAAGAACTCAGTTAATTAGGTGAAGATAATTCCAGTGAGGGCATAGCATGGGCAAAGACTCTGTGTCAAGGGAATTTGGCACATTTCAGGAAACAAAGTAATGTTGGTATGAAGTGGGAAGAGGGGGAGGGAGGAAACATAGTGAGAAAATGACCTGAAGATGGCAGAGGAAGTCAGGCAGAGTGTGTAGGCCATGTTAAGGATATTCATCTTTATTTTAAGAGTAGTGGGAAACAGAGGGGTTTCAATTAAGTAGTAGGAACTATCTTAGTTACCTAGTGCTTATGTAATAAAAGACACCACAAGTGAGTGGTCTTAAAGAACAAAGTCTTATTTTCTCACTGTTGTGGAGGCTAAGAGTCCAAAACAGGGTCTCAAATGTGTCCATTTCTTTTGTGGGTCTCTCTCCTAGGCTCTCATGTCTGCTTTACTAGTAAATGGGCCCTCACATTATGTCTGTCTTCCCCCCGGTGTGTGTCTCTATGTTTATTCTGTCTTCTTTATAAGACACCACTCAATGAGACACCATTCAAAAGTGGTTAGGTTCAGGAGCCACTTTACTCTGGAATAACCTCATTAACATAATAAAACTTCTATTTCTAAATAGCATCATATTTACAGGTACAGGGGTTAGGACTTCCACGTTTCTTTTTGTAGGCTGTAATTCAGTATATAACAGGCAACATTATAAGAATTAATTTTAAAAAGATCATTCTATTTCTGTGTGAAAAACTGGAAGAGAACAAGGGTATCAATTAGGAGGCTAATGCAATAGTCAAGAGAAGATAAGACTTTGCTTTTGGTTAGTTTTAGTGATATTTATTAATTTATAAAACAAATAATGTTCTGGAATACCTGCTTTACTCTGGGGACTGGCAAGGATTGTCTCACATGTTGTAGGTGGCCACTTCGGTTGGCACAGTGAGAGTAAGCAATCACCTCTTTGTTCCTCTGCGATCCAGGCCAGAGCTTATCAAGAAGTTTGTTCTAAAGATGGAATATGTGTCATACTGTGTTATTTATTAAAAGTACTTGGAAAGCCTTGGTACGAATGGTATTGTTTTCACAAGTGGTTTAAACTGAAGTGTACATTCTGTTTTAAAAGTTAAGTGCGACAACCTTGAATCATATTTTTTCCATAGAATTCCAGCAGGGGGCAGCAAGTGAAAAGTACTACTTGTCTTTGAAAATTAAACATGATGTAAAAATGTATGAATATAGTTCTTAATGTTTATAGTTTTATATGACTCCAAATGTTTTAACATTATTCTGGTTTTTATGTTTATTTAGCATCATTTTGAATGCTAAATTTTATTTTTGCTTAGATAAGAAGATGAACTATGATTAGTTATCTTATGAAGGGGGGAGGTATGAAGTAGAAAAATACTAACTTTTTTTTTTGGTAAACATTTATTTTCAGCATCTATAATATGCTGGCACTCTGTTAGGAGTTTGATATTTAAAAATTAAGGTAGATGTATACCAATACGTCTATACAATATAGAGCTATAATTACTAAAGGAGGTTTGGACTCACTGCTGTATCACTTTTTGGAGGTTTTAGCAACAAACTTCCTAGACTTGTGATGAGGACCTAAAGAAGGGTTCCATAGCGAAAGTGACCTTTGAACAGTGTTTGCCATGTTATAAAAGAAGAGGGATTTTCAGGCAGAGGGAACCTAATGAATAAAATTGTGTAAATGTGAAGCAACCTGACACCTTCAGAGTTCAGCGAGTAGTTTAAGATGTCAGTTATATAAATTGAGGTAAGTATAAGACAAAGGAGTTTGTAAAGTAAAGTAAGGAGTTTGGCATTGTCTTGTAGGCTCTGGGCATTTTAGGCAGATTTGTGTGGCAATATGGAGAATGAAGTGGGAAGAGATGGGGTTGAAGAAGGTTGGATAGATAGTCTATTAAGAGTTTGAAGGGACACAGTATTCAGTAACCCAGGAGGGAGATGGTGGAGGCTATTATTGAGGCAATGAGAGCATTGGGTGGAGAAGGAATGGTCAGTTAAAGAGATGGTTAAGAATATAATGTAGGATTTGGTGATGATTCATTTGGTAATTAAGTATAGATTTATTTGGTTATCAGATCTTGTTTTTGCTTAAATTATATATAGATATTTTAAATCTGTGAAAATATTTTAATAAAACAGAAGGTTAATAACATTTAATATACTTAGAACATTATGCTAATTTTAGTTTAAGAGAAAATGAATGGAATTAAATTTTTTTGTAGTATTTGAATGTGTGATGGTCCATTAAATACTTAGTTTAAAATCCAACAAAATGGTTACTCTAATATTCTACAGTTCTTTTCATTTTGATGTGTCATGGTATCTCAGAATTTAACATTGGAGAGACAAGCTTCTGGAAGCCAGTCTTTGAAATGGTGTGACCTCTTTGAGTCTATTTTCTCATCTGTGAAATAGGGATATCCTATAAGGGTCAAATGACAAAATCCAGATAGTGTACTTTCACACATACTAGCAGCTATCATTGTTGTTTTTATTGAAAGAATTATGTAATTTTGTCATTTTGAACATGAAATGACTGAAACTTAGGTCAAATGATTTATCTGAGGTTACACAGATTAGTAGTACATTTTGTAAGTAGTTTTACTTTTAATTCAATAAATTATAAATTTTGGAAAATTAAAGATACAAACATTAGAGCCACAAGTAAAATTAGAGTCACAAATTACCTAACTTTGTTTTGATTATGCTAGGCTGGATGGTAGTTATTTAAGTAGAGTTATCCACAAAAAAAGGTCAACTAAAATATTAGTTTTTTAAATTCAAGTTAGTCTTTTACTCAAATTGAAACATTTTGTTCCAGACTTTTTAGATTTAGCTTGTTGTTGTTGTTGTTATGTGCCGTCGAGTCAAACCCGACTCATAGCGACCCCTCCTTGGGTTTCCGAGGTAGTATCACTACGGAAGTAGGATTCCCCAACCTTCCTTCTGATAATTTGGTTTTGTAAATGAAAGCATAGCATCTCAATTATAATAAGTAGTTCACAAACTTTATAGCAGAGTCCTTAAGATTCAGCAGACTTCCTCCAGGACCATTTGGGGGAGGGAAGGAGAGGCTCAATAGCCAGGACTCCACGTTCAGCCTAGTTCTGTCTGTTTAGTTTGTTGTTGAATCTGTAAGATTTTATTACAATTATGGCAAAAGTTTAAAAACCACATTTCTCAACAATCACAGCAAATTCAGTGGATAGTTAAAAGATAGGAAACTATTGTCACGAGAAAACAAATACAGCAGTAACAACAATGGTAAATTGAGACAAACAAAAGAACACCTTCAGTGGTAGCATTTTGGAGTCTAGGGAAAAGAATGATTGTCATTTCACTCAGGAAACCTTTCTTACTCACCAAGACTTCCTTACCAAGACTTCAGTAACAGTCGTGTTAAATACTAGAGAAGAAGGCAGCGTTCACTAAGTGATGCTAAGCAGAAGTGCTGCTGTTAATATGTTCCTCTTAGGCAGCCAGAGCCAGGGGAGAGGAGATAAGGAGTCAAGGTTTAATTTCTATCCTTGTGGAAGCATCGCTTGTGAAAATTCCTCCAAGGTGTTATTTCTAGAAAAATGTCTGAATGTGCATAAATATTCACAGAAGGATGATTTTTCTTGTTTCAAAGAATTGTGAGGATTAAGTGAGGTAATACACAAAGCATTTTCTGTTCACTCAAAAACTTACTGGCATCAAGTCAATTCTGCAACCCCCATCAGGTTTCTGAGGCTGTAAATCTTTATAGAAGTAGATTGCCCCATCTTCCTTCCATGGAACAGCTGGTGGGTTTGAACTGCCGACCTTCTGGTTAGCAGCCAAATGCCTTATCCACTATGGCAGCATTTTCTACAGTATCTTGAATATACTAGTTTTCTAGTAAATATCTAGATATTTGTCTCACATACTTTGGACATGTTATCAAGAGAGATCAATCCCTGGAGAAGGACTTCATGCTTGGTGAAGTACAGAGTCAGTGAAAATGAGGAAGACCCTTGCTTTGGTTACCTAATGCCACTCTGACAGAAATATACCACAAATGGGATGGCTTGTACAAACAGGAGTTTATTCTCTTAAAGTTCGGGAGGCTAGAAGTCCGAGTTCAAAGTGCCAGGCTCTTGGGGCTGAGTGAAAGCCCTTGACCTTAGGCTTTAGCTCTACCTCTTGCTCCCAGCCCACTGAAACTAGAGGCATCTCTTCACTCAGGCAGCTACTGACTACTGAGGCTAACAAGCCCAAGGTCAGCAAATAAAATGACACAGTCCCAAAGCACACGGCAGGCCATTAATTCAAGTCCATTGAAAGTCCCAAGATCGGCAGAGCATGGCAGGCTACTGAAAAATGACATAGCTATGTGCAGGGTTCAAGTGTGCCATAAACTAGAGACCATTCCCCAAGGCTTCTCCTTATATACAGGAAGTAGACTACGTCCCTAAGGCAGCAACTCAGCTCCTCACAGTGGATTCTACCATGGAGTTGATTACCAGTCTCATCATGGAGAGTCTCATCCAACTGCCCAGCCACTCAACCAGGCCCAGCCAAGTTGACACACAAACTGAACTACCACAACCCTCAATGAGATGGATTGATACAGTGGCTACAATAGTGGGCTCAAAAATAGCAGTGGTTGCACAGGACCAGGCAGTATTTTGTTCTGTTGTACCTATGGTTGCTATGAGTCGGAACTCCCTTGATGGCACCTAGCGACAGTCTTACTACTTATGATGATGTGTAAAATTCAATAGATTGCAATTAGGAGATATGGAGAATTATATACAAAACCATAAATTTGTTAGGACAGTAATTATAAACACTGAGCTAAGGTACACGGTATCTCATTTATTACTGTCTTCCCAGGGCTTCATGTAGTGTTTGATATGTAGGAGAAGCCATAGTTTAACATTTGTTGAATGAATTAGGGTAGACTCACTTGAAAAGAAACTACTTTTGTAAAGTCTTCATTTTTTTCAAACTTTAAGAAATGTTTGTTTTTTAAATTATTTCTTTACAGCCAGCATTTGTAGCCCTTGAGAGACAACTATAGATGAAGAAACTGCAGGAGTTTAGTAGCTTGTGTAAGACCCTAGCTGCTTGCTAGTAAAGCAAAATGCAGTGGGCATCTTGGGCTTTGGACCTGGGGTCGTGTCTGGCTTTGGGCATCTTACTGCTTGTAAGACTGTCTTGGACATGGTAATTGATCTCACTAAGTGTATTTTTTTCATTTGTACTTTATGGACTATTATAAGGATTAAATGTGTTGAGATATATAATGTACTCAGTATATTTAGTGTATAACCCAAACTAAGCCCACTCCATTCAGTCAATTCCAACTCATAGCAACCCCTGTTTGGTTTCATTGTGTTGATTTCTTTGTTCCATGTAATTTTCTATGCTGAGCTCATTTTGTTTATGAATCATATTATCACTTCCCTCATTGCTATTGTTTTAGTATTTGCTGAATATTTATGCTGGTCCTCTTTTTTATTTTGTTGTGAAGGTTTATCATTTTTCTTTGAGGTTATCCTGTCATTTATAGTTTTCTTCCCAAGTTTAGAACAGTCCGTTCTGTCTTGTAGTTGTCTTGACTTCCCTACCATCTAGAAGTTCTGTAATGACACAGATTTTTTTCCCTCTTTTTAGTTTGTAGTTGTCCTCATTTGTCAGTTGGTGTCTCTGGTTCCCTGTTGATAATCTTGTAGGCTTATTTACTTTGGATACTTCCATAGCTAGGTTGGTTTCTGGATTGTATCATCATGTGTGTTAATGGTCAGTTGTTGTTGACTGTTGTTGCTTCTCTGTCCGAAGGGCTCCCTTTAGCATCTCTTGTAAGGTTGGTCTGGTTTTAACAAATTCCCTTAATTTCTGCTTATCTGGAAATGTCCTAATTTCACCATCGTATTTGAAGGGCAGTTTTGCTGGGTACGTAATTCTTAGTTGTAAATTTTTCTCTTTCAGTGTTTTATATATACCATCCCACTATCTTCTCACCTGCATGGTTTCTGTCGAGAAATCCGAGCTTAGCCTTATTGGTTGTTCCTTGTAGGTAACTTTTTGTTTTTCCTGTGCTGCTCTCGTGATTCTTTCTTTGCCTTTGATTTTGGTGAGTTTGATGATGATATGTCTTGGTGTTTTTCTTTTGGGGTCTGTCCTGTTTGGGATTCATTGAACTTCCTGAATGGATATATTCTTATCTTTCATCATATCATGGAAGTTCTCCTCCAACAAATCTTGGACAATTTTCTCAGTGGTTTCGTTTTTCTCTTCCTGTTCTGGAATTCCAGTGACACGTAGGTTATTCCTTTTGATGCTTTCCCACATGAACCTTAGGCTTTCTTCAATTTGTTTTGATCTTTTTTCTGATTGATCCCTTTCCAAAGAAGTATTCAGGTTATTTGTCTTTAATCTCATTAATTCTGTCTTCCATTGCATCAATTCTACTCCTTTGCCCTTTCAATGTGTTATCTATTTCTGACGATTTAGTATTAATCTTCTGTATTTCTATCTGCAGATTTAGAATCATTTCTAATTTTTCATTTATTTTGTCATTTCGTTCTTGTATTTTCTTCCAAAATTCTTCTAGGGTTTTGTCTGTGTTTTTCTTGGTCTGTCTCTTAATCTCTTAAAGATACCTAAATATAATTCTTTTGAATTCCGTATCAGGTAGTTCTAATGCTGCATCTTCCTTAGGGATGTGTTTTGGGTCTGTGTCCTGGTCCCTTGTTTCTCCTGCTTTATCTTGCTTCTTTGTGTAGACTTTGATGCTCTGTTGTCTCCGAGGCATTGTGATGTTTTTGTGTTTATATTTAATTGGTGATTATATGTTGGAGTGACTTGCCCACAATTTTTGTTTTCTTTGTATGTTATCTATGCAGGCAAGGTACTGTGTTGTGCTGCTCTATTCACTAGTTGACAGCACTTATACACTCACCACCTGTCTCCTTTCCTTTGTCAGCCTCTTGTATGTCCTTGCCAACCCTGGCAAACAGAGCCTGTCATAGGCCCCTGGAATCCAAATGAGAATGCTATCACTTTAAATATACAAAATGATTGCCACTTGTAAACATTCAAAATGGCTGCACCCTTGATCACTTTAAATATACAAAATGGCCACCACTTGTAAACATTCAAAATGGCTGCACCTCAGTCACTTTAAATATCTAAAATGGCTGCCACATGTAAACAATTAAAATGGCTGCACCCTCTGGACAGCAGAAAGTCCACAGCTCAGGTTGTCGCCCTCCTTGCTATTTCCCTTCCTAGTCATAGGCCACCAGAGCAGTTGTCCCTGCAGCTCTTGGTGACCAGGACTGATCTTTAGGTTAATTCTCAGGTCCCAACACCACTTGGAAATATTCGGGCCGTTGGTCTCATCAGAGTAGCTGACAGTCTACAGCTCCAACTGTCTCTACTCACTGCTTTCATCCAGGTTTTTCCACTAGTTGGTGCCTAATCCACTTCTGTATAGTTCCTTTCAAAGCTCAGGGTTCCAGGATTATCTTCTGTATCTCTGTCAATTGGTTTTTCTTTTCTTTGTTGAAGAGGGTCTGTGTCATTTGTCTGCCTATTCCTCCATCTTACTGGAAGTCTCTCCCCCTGTTTGGTTTCCAAGGCAGTAAATCTTTACAGAAGTAGACTGCCTCATCTTCTTCCCATGGAGCAGCTGATGGGTTTGAACTGCTGACCTTCTACTTAGCAGCCAAATGTCTTACCCACTATGCCACCAGCATTCCTTACTTAGCACATACTCAGTACATTTTACCTTCCTCTTTCTCTATTTCTAAAAGGAGTAGGAGTGGGAATTGTTTAGTAGAACCTCAACTAATATTCTCAGTAGTTTTTTTTGTTTTTTGTTTTTTTTATATAACTTTTCCAATTGACTTGTGTTTTCTCTCCAAAGAAAGGTTCTGAAAGAACACGTAAAGGATTATTTTAGTGCTGAGGGTTATGGGTGAGATGGAGAGGATTTGATGGTATGGAATTATTTAGAGAAGTTGTGTTGTTTTCTTCTACATGCTGCTTTTGAGTTTCCTTTGGTGGATGCTGATGAGTGATGATAAAGAGAAATAATGGTTTCAAGGGGAACTTTCAGAGGAAGGAGGTTAGGTATGGTGTTGCTATGAAGCAGTGTGGTGATTTCTTTAAACACACATACCAAAACTCCAGAGCTCCCCTAAACTGAGTATCATTCTCTAAAGACTGACACTTGGGCCTTTATTTCATTACAGTTGCCGTCATTTAACATGACTAAGGACATGACTTCAAACCCAGGACACATTCTTATTCCCAGTGATCCTTTGAGGTGAATGTAGTTATTGGAGGCAGCCAAACATTATTTGGAACAAAAATGCCTCAATTTGGGCTTTAGAATATTTTGCCAAAAACAAGATAATACAGAGATTTTGCATTAATTTTCTATTAGGTCTTGTAAATTGGCTTTCTGAAGAAATTCCCCAAATGCATTTCATTCTTCTTTATCGAAATAAGTATACAAAATCCTAAGTGTACCAAATAAACAGCTTGAAATTGTTCAGATAATTCAGAAGAACAAGCAGTAATTGGACATCAGTACTGAAAATATATCCACTGTAGAAACTAAATCACATTTAAATCTATCCAGTACAAGTCAGAAATTTTCTTTCCCTTCTTTGATTACTACTCTCCTGCTTATTTTAAGTAAGCAATGTTAATTTTGTAGTCAGTTGGAATTTTAAATGTTAATATAAACAACCTATATTAAATATTCATACACAAATGTTGGTAAATTATGTTTTTATAAATTCTTTTTTAAAAGGCATGGTTAGACTGCACATAATTTCTTAGATTGTAAATATGTCTGTGCTTTCTTGAATTTGAGAAGGAAACTTTTGGAATAACAATTTTGTTTTTCTGAATTTTGTTTAGACAGAATATTGGTGAAAGTATTCTTTACCTGTGGGTGGAGAAAGTAAGAGATTTTCTAATACAGAAATCTCAGATGACAGAACCAGGTAGGATTGAAAAATACTATCAATGCTCTTTTAATCTTTCAGTAATTAAAATTTCATGTCGATATTCTATTGAAATTTTATATGGAAATCTGTATTCTGCTTTATGAACATAAAGTATGTTTATCTGGAAAGTATGTTTAGTCGTGTAATTATGTTTATTTCTTTCTGCAAGGTTTAGCCTCTTTGATTTTATAGTATACTTATAGAAAAGGAGTTTTTTGGTTAAAGAACTTGAATCAAAAATCCCTGTTCTTATTCACAATTGTTAAGATTATATAAAGCTTGTAACTTGCCATATGAATTATTGTACTATATAAGTTAGACATTGGCTTCAAATGAGTCCAATATTTGTAGAAAAAGAACATGGGAAAATAGAAAATTGATTTTGAAAATTGATATATAATTTACATACTATAATGTTCACCCTCTAAGAGTGTATGTCATTGTTATGTGCCGTCGAGTCGGCCCCGACTTATAGCGACCCCTCCTTGGGTTTCCGAGGCAGTATCGCTACGGAAGTAGATCGCCCAACCTTCCTTCCAAGGAGTGGCTGGTGGGTTTGAACTGCCAGCCTTCTGGTTAGCAGTCAAGTGCCTTAGGTGCTACACTACCAGAGCTCCTCTAAGAGTGTATAGTCAGTGATTTTTTAGTATATTCATAAAATTGTGGAACCATTGTTGTTGTTGTTTGCCATGGAGTCGGACCTGACCCATAGCGACCCCTCCTTGGGTTTCCGAGGCAGTATCGCTACGGAAGTAGATTGCCCTGTCTTCCTTCCGGGGAGTGGCTGGTGGGTTTGAACTGCCAGCCTTCTGGTTAGCAGTCAAGTGCCTTAGCCACTATGCTACCAGAGCTTGTGAAGCCATTACAGCTATCTAATTTCAGAACATTTGAAAATTGATATTTCTTCTCTAGTAATTATTTTTTTTATTTAATCTATAAGCATATGACAGCTTGGTAATTGCTAACATTTCCTGTTACTTCACTTTGTTAGTCTTTGTTCCACTTGCCTTTTAGAGAAAAAACAAACTTGTTTTAACCTGATTTTATTTCCAAGTAGAGTTTTATTGTTACTACTGGTGGAATTGTGTTTATATTGGGAAAAAGAGAGATTTTTTAAAAAGCAGCAGTAGTTACAAAATTTTAAGAAGGTTATTCATAGAGAACCAATTACTTAGTATTCCCTTAGCAAAATCATTATACATATAAAGTTGATAAACCAAAAAAACAAACCCACTGCCATTGAGTTGATTTCTGATTCATAACAACCCTGTAGGGCAGAGGCAACTTAAATGTTTATGGAAGCAGACTACCTCATCTTTCTATTGTGGAGTGGCTGGTGGGTTCAAACTGCCGAGCTTTAGGTTAGCAGCCAAATGCCTTACCCACTGTGCCACCAGACCGCCTATAAAGTTGATAATATTAGTCTATATGTTTTCAGAACATTTTAACACTTTTCTATGAGCAAATATTTTTACAACTTCATTATGATGGAAGAATTAGCTGGCATGAAGTTATCATCCATGTAACAATCTTTTTAAAAGTATTTTCCTTAATATTTATCATTCAAGTCCTGAATTTACAGCATTACAGGACATCTGTAGAGAAAATTGATTTACAAAATTCTGAAAATAAAATTTGCCAATCTGTCATTCTAGAGTGCAGGATAATTGCAAAATAGAATGCATACTAATAAAATGTTAGGACCCCCACCCCTCCAAAAAAAGTTTGGGATTCCTTAACTGCTAAGAAGTTTTAAGAATTATTGATCTTAAAAATGGTATGCTCCCTTTTCCACATATACCTATAATTCAGTTTATCTATTCTTCAAATTTTAGAGTTATTAATTTATATTGTACAATTTATAATTTTGAATTTTTAGAAATTTTGCTTGGAATTCTTTTTTTTTATTGAAGACTATTTTTCCTGACTTCATGTTAAAATGGAAAAATTAATTCCGAAGACCTAATTACGATAAACACTAGTATCAGGAAGGCTCATGACAATTTTCCTCCCTTGGGCTCCTAGTTGAACAAGTATTTTACTTTGATTTTACCATTAGTCTTTAATGCAAACTTACTCTTTATTATTTATATTGCTTTTCCTAATATAGAAATTCTAAATTTTGAAATAATTATACCCAACAAATAACAACACAACGCACTGCCTTCGAGTCAGATCCTACCCATAGCAACTCCTCCTTGGGTTTCCAAGGCAGTATTACTACGGAAATAAAAATTTTGAATATTAAAGTTGCAAAAATAGTACAAGGAGTTGCTTAATTTGCCTTGCTACCCAATTAACATCTTACATGATCATTGTGTAATTATCAAGAATAGGAAATCAGCATTGGTACAATATTATTAGCTAAGAGCTTATCTGAATTTCACTGATTATTTTCCTCTAATTTCCGTTTTGTTAATCTAGGATCCTGTCCAGGATAGTATACCGCATTTAGTTGTTATGTCTCTTAGTCTTCTCAAGTCTGTCAGCAGTTCCTCAGTCTTTCTTTGAGTTGTATGACCTTGACACTTTTGGCGAGTACTAATTAGTTAGTTTGTAGAATATCCCTCAATTTGGGGTTTGTCTAATGTTTTCTCACGGTTGAAGTGAGATTATGCATTTTTTGAGAAAAATACCACAAAAATTGATACTGTATCCATCACAGTGCATCATACCACAGGGTTCATGAAATCAGTATGTCTTATTATTGGTGGTGTTTTCCATGATCCTTAGGTAAAGGTGGTTTCTGCCAGATGTTTTCACTGTAAAGCTACTGCTTGATTATTTATATATAGCAATATGGACTCATTTATATTTATTTTATTCCAGGGCTTAAAATTCGGTAGTATTATTGTTCAAACATTTTCAGTTTTGGCCTTTAGGAGCTTCTTCAGGTTGCCGTGTGTATACTAAAAAGTACACTTATTAAAATAAGCTCCCATCTTGAGCATTTCCTTATTTTCTAGAACCACAAGATATTCCAGGTTCATGTTGTATTTTCCTGACTCCAATCCAGGAATCAATCACTTCTCCTGAGATCCCTGGTTCCTTCATTTGAAAAATTCATAGACACCAAAAACCAAACCACACCCATTGTCAAGTCAGTTTTGACTCACAGCACCCCTTAGGGTTTCCTAGACTGGCAGTAATCTTTACAAAAGCAGTCTGTCACATCTTTTTCCCGTGGGAGTAGCTAATGCGTCTGAACCACCAGAGTTTTGGTTAGCAGCCAAGTGAGTAGCTATTGTACCATCAGGGCTCCTTGTTTAGATGCCAAGACCCAACAATTTTTTTTTTTTTTTTTAATTTTTATTGTGATTTGGGTGAAAGTTTGCAGACCAAATTCATTTTCCATACAGCAGCTCACATATACTTTGTCTCATGACTGTCGACTGCAATTTCCCACAATGCAACAGCTCCCCCCCACTTCCTCCCCATAGTTACCTCTTCCCCATGTCCTTCCTTCCCATGCACTCCTGCCTCCAAGCTGTCTCCCTGTGCATACACAGCCCTTCTATTCTCCCATGATTGATCTCTCCAAGGAGTGTATCTAGCTAATGTAAATGTTCAGCTCATGTGCCTGTCTTTTGTTTGGCTGGAAGCCGCAGGAGTGGGTTTCAATTCCAGACCTGAAGGGCAGGTAGGGGCTATAGTCTCAGGGATTCTACCAGGCTCTATCAGACTAGCAAACCTGGTCCCTTTTATTTTTTTTAATGATTTTGAGTTTTGCTGCACATTGTTCTCCTACTTTATCTGGGATCTCCTACATAGATCTTCCTCTGAGTGACCCAGCATTTTTTAAGGGTAATTTCTTACTTGCTTTGGAAGATTAATCGTAATGTCTCCTGTCCACATAGACCCAGAAATAAAGAAGAAAACTGAAGAGGAAGACGTTGAATGTGAAGATGATCTCACTGTAGCATGTGAATCAGAAAGTCCAGTTAAAGAATTGGATACTGAGATCACTGAAAATAAAACAGGTATGATGTTACTAACTAGTTCTTTTGAGGAGAGTGGGGTAGTGGTATTATGTATTGTTCTTTGGAATGTTATAGAAATTTAGTAAAATCCAGGGCTTCCACCCTACTTCAACCTAAGTATAAAACAAAACAAAACAAAAAAATCACTGCCGTCAAGTCGTATCTGACTCATAGCAACCCCTCCTTGGGTTTCTGAAGCAGTATCACTACAGAAGTAGATTGCCCAACCTTCCTTTCGAGGAGTGACTGGTGGGTTTGAAATGCTAGCCTTTTCTGGTTAGTAGTCAAATGCCTTAGGCACTATGTCACCAGAGCTTCTATTTTATTCATTTCTATGTTTATGTATTTGAGACAGGATTTCTTTTGGAAAACAGAATCTACTGTTAGAAGAAAAAGGGTGAACATCAGAGTTATAATTAGCATCCAGTTCATATTGGCTTTAATGCTATATTTGACTGTATTAGTACAAAGATCACAATCAGTATAAGGACAGGATAATATCAAGGAGAAGGTAAAGCATCCAACCTGAACCTGGTATTCTGTCCTTTTCTTGCCACAAACCGGGGCAGTGATTTTCTTTTCTTTTTGGGGGGGGGGGGGCAAGTTGTTTAAACTTCTCCAGAACTGTTTTTATGTTTTCATACACGGTTGAAATGTACTGCATTAGTTGTAAGACAAACTGATTTGATAAGATTCAACCAACCAGTGAACTAGTGAATAGAAATAGGAGGGAACTTTTTTTTTTAGCTGTCAGGTTTATTTATTTTTTTAATTTTAATTTTAATTTTTTTCAGTATTTCCTCCTCTCCCTTCCCACCCCTGGTAACGAACAGAGAAAGTTTCCTTCCATATACAAACCTTTCCTTGACTTTATACAGTAATGAGCTAATACATTATTTGTCCCTTTGTGATTGACTTATTTCACTCAGCATAATGGCCTTTAAGTTCATCCACATTATGCAGTGTTTTGCAGATTCTACGTTCTTTAGTGTTGCCTAGTATTCTGTTGTGTGTTTGTACCATAGTTTGGTTATCCAGTCTTCTGTTGATGGGCACCTACGTTGTTTTCATCTTTTTGCTATTGTAAATTGCTGTGATGAATATCGGTGTGCATATATCTGTTCTTGCCCTGGCTCTCACTTCTTTAGGATATATGCCTAGTAATGGGATAGCTGGATCAAATGATATTTCTAATTCCAACTTTTTAAGGAATCTCTATACTGCTTTCCACAGTGGTTGTATCATTTGACAGTCCCACCAACAGTGTACGAGAGTCCTAGTCTCTCCACGTCCTTGCCAGCATTTGTTATTTTCTGCCTTGTTGAACTTTGCTATTAGTGCAAGGACCAGATAGTATCTCATTTTTGTTTTGATTTATGTCTCTCTAATGGCTAATGATCATGAACATTTATTTTTCATGTGTTTGTTGGCCTCCTGAATATTCTCTTTGGTGAAGTGTCTATTCATGTCTTTTGCCCATTTTTTAATTGGATTGTTTGTCTTTTTGTTGTTGAGCTGTTGGAGTTTTCTATAAATTTTAGAGATCTAAGTCCCTTGTCAGATATGTTACTGCTTAATATTCTCCCAATCTGTAGGTTCTCTGTTTACTCTTTTGGAGAAGTCTTTCTAAGCACATAAAAAATTAATTTTTAGAAGGTCCCATTCGTTTAGTTTATCTTCTGCTGTTTGTGCATTTTGGGTTATGCTTACCAGTCTTATTTATGCCATAAATTAGGGCCCCTAATTTTGCCCTAGGAGATCTGGTAGCATAATGGCTAAAGCACTTGACTGCTAACCAGA